TCATTCTATCAATAACTCGGGTTATTAGCAGATCAACTAATAACATATGTCGGTCCCTGAATGACGGAATCAACTATTGACGCATAACATATACAGTATATTTTTCAAATGACCCAATAGGTCATTTCACTCTTTTAAATGACCGGCATTGGTCATTATTCACTTGAGTCACGAGGTCATTTCAGGTCATTTACCATATTTAGTGGTCGGGTTAAGTTTTGTTGAGCACCAGCATTTCGTAAAGAAATAAATTTGCCCGTTGAAATTACATCAAGTTCAGGAAATTCATCAGTACCTAAGGGTTCTAATTCGTTTGCTGAAAACCATGTATCCAAAATTCCAAACTTGCTTCCAACTTGATATGAGTTGCAATGCTCGTCTATCCATTTTTAGCCTAGGTTCCAAATTTAACACACATTTTTAGTTTTATATCGTTTTTCCATTAAGATTATAAATCATTTGACGGTTCTGAATAATATGTCGATTTGCTATGTTTATCAGATTTAACATTCAGTCCATCGATACTTCCAACTTTAAAGGTATTAAGAACCCAATATTTTACTTGACGGGTTTCGTAAAATAGCCAGGCAACGATCATATTTTGAACGATTCATTATATGTCTTTCGTTTTTCTATTGTTCATGTAATCATCAACGATTTTTTGAAAGCTTTGAAATGAAAGAACCGAAAAAACTAGCGAAGAATTTGAAGCCATATTATGGAAGATAAAATAACAAATAATTTTTTTTTTGTAATCAATCTAATTTATTAAACTCTTATATTAAACTTGAGTTTAATTGACGTAAGTACGTACTTACATATTAATCAGTATAATTTTTAAAATTACGTATGTTACATTTTAATCGGTATAAATTTTAAACTCTGGTACGTGTAATTTTGAACTAACGGTTATTTAAGAGCAACGTACAACATATATACAAAAATCTAATACTTTGAATTTATAAACGGACTGCCGTCAATAAAAAAAATTGATCCCTTAACTTTTATATCTTGATGAATTTTGAGGCTATCTTAATGAATTAATGATCAAAAGAAAGCTTAAGATCTAGATTTTCTTTTGCAGTTTTAATTGCTAGTTTTTGAGATGTAGCAACTGTGGTGTTAACATGGTTTAGTAATTAACACCGAATGAACTAAATAAAAATGTTCAGCACCCCCAAAAACCTCACCCTAACTAAAATTTAAACCTATAATACTAGTTTATCTTGGGATCCTAACCCTCATTTTGGATGTTACTTATAAAGCTATCAAAAACATATATGTGGTGTTAACACCACTGGTGAGATTTAGTACTATTGTATTTAGTAAATAAAAAAAAATAGTTACTACTTATGAAAAAAAAAAAAGATTTTATAATAGATTTAATAGTACGTATAACGAAATACTACGTACTCTTAGATTAATTGCCAATTAAATATGTTTCAAATATCTATATTGGTTATATACTTTACATTTATTTGATTACGTATACCGTATTAGAGATATTAAAATTCGGGGCTGCATAAGCAACCATAGAACGCTTTAATAAAATATTAAAATATATACTTTGTAATAAAATATCGAGTCGTTGGATATCAGAGTTCGAGGGCATGTGATCTTGATATATCGATCGGGATGGAAAAAACCGCTGGAGTTTTATAACGATAAATTCATTGTTCAAAAAAAAAAATTATACATAAAACTAATTGATCGGGTTAAAATTAACTTTTTAAATATAAGCTTTTATTTTATAGTTTTGGAAATACAAATATTTGCAATTTAAAGCAATAATTTAAGAGAGTAACTTTGCAAGATATTTCTTGGATTGGTACAAATTAAAAGATATTAGTATTAGCCAGCACTGTCAATGATGCCACCGTTCGAAATAGTATATGCTACGTTTTCAAAATGCAAAAAAAGATTAAAAGATTAATTTCGTCACATAAAGAGAAAACAAGTAACAAATAGTTTATATTATAATTACGAGATTCGGCTTCAGGCATATCAGGTGAATCATAAACCTTGGCAATTCGTTCGTCACCACGACCTTTGCGTAGGTAGAGACGAATAGTCGACCTATTAATTAAATTAGTATAATTTAAAAACAATATTAAATACAATAAAAAATTACAAATTATAAAAAAAGATAACTTACGCGTGCGCAAGAACGTGGCCACCTATGGGCTTACGAGGATTACTCACAAACATCATATTACTTCCAGGATCAGCTTGAACCTGAACAAAATATATGTCAAAAGAGTATTTAATAAATAGAAGAATTTACAGAATAATTCTTTGCCTGGTTTGTAATATAAACAGCAACGTTATATTCTTCCGCGATCTTAGTCAGGCGACTGAGCATAATGTTAAGTTTCTGCTGCCGTTCGGCTAGTTCACCACGACCAGCATAATCAGTTCGAAAGAGAGCAATAATGGAATCGATTATCTATAAGTTACGAATTAAGCATAAATATTAAAAATTGGATAATAAATTGAAAAGAAAAAAAAAAAAAAATCCACATGTACCAATAATCGATATACTCCTTTTTCTTCAGCAAATCGAGCAGCTAGCTCGATGATGAGTTCCATTTGATGCTCCGAAGTGTAAGCACGAGCAAAAAGAATATTCTCAAGGGCAGCTTCATGGTCAATTCCGAAACGCGCAGCTATTGCTTTAATGCGCTCTGGACGAAAAGTTCCTGAATTTTATTGATATTTTAATAAGATTATGAATCAAAATTAAGGATAGAATTAATAAAAAAATTTATTATACCTTCAGTATCTATGAAAGCTGCCTTTATAAGGAGAATAATATGTTTCAATAAATTCACATAAATAAGATTTTTTACGTTAAAAAATATATGTAAGAAATTATATACTTTTCCACTTGTCCCACCCATGTCGGGCGGAAGCTGCGCCGCAACACACAAAGTGTGAGCGATTTGAGTTTTTCCAGTTCTGAATTCACCAAATGCTTCAGTAATTGACATGGTGGGAACACCACCTAATTGAGAATGAACAGAGAACAATTATAAAATGGAAAAGGTAGTGATAATTTAACAAATTATACATACCACCTATAAGCGCGTCCAGCGATTTACTACCAGTTGATATACACATCACTTTCGACCTTATTTGCGAAAACTCAGTAGCAGTCACGAAAGAAGCAGACTAATTGCAATTAAAACAAAAAAGTATAAAAAGTTAATGTAAGCAAAGTTATATATAACACGTGATAATTCAATAACCTGGAGTTTAGAAGCGGTTTCTTTAAGTTTATCAACTTTTGCTTCAGAAAGCCCTTTAATTTTGCAGAGATTCCTCCGCGTTGTCATATGAATTGCCTATTTTATGAATTATAAAAAATATATATATTTACATAATCTAATTTATATAGATTAACACGAAGTTAACGAGAATTAACAATTATTTACCCGCACAGTGCAAATACCAGCACCTTTAAGTTTAGTAATGTCAACAGCACCAATTCCATGGTTTTGAAGTTCGTCGATTTCAGTATAGAAAAGTTCCTAAAAAAAGAAAAATTATATCATGTGTGTTTACATAAAATATTTAAATGTAAGTACAAAATTTCGATGTTTTATCAAAATAAAGTAAACATGGTATTCAACGTTCGACGCAAGAGTTAATTTATTACCTCCTCTTCTTCTGATTCTTGAAGTTCGGCTTCTTGATCGGGTACTTGTTCAACTTCAGTCATGTTGATTAGCAAGGTTAAAATTAATTTAGAGTTATTGGAGAAAGTAAAAACGCTCTCACGAATTGATGTTTATATCATAAAAATCATAAAAGAAAACTCGTCACATGATGAGATCCATATACGACAGACATATTACGAAAATTTACATAATAATTTCTTTCAAAATTCTGCTGTCTGCATAAATAAATGCTGGATAAAAAACTGTGCGGGCAATAAACTGTCACGTGAATACATAACCATTATTCAATTAAAATATGTCTTTGCCTTGAAAATCACCCTCCGACATTTCTGATCGGACAAAAACAAATCCGTATATTAGTTCACGTTTATATTGAATCTCTTTTTGCCTTTATTAATTCGAAACTTTATTATATAAGCTATTAAACCATAAAGACAAAAAGGGGTTTACATATAAACATGAACTAATACACGGCTTCGTTTTTGTCCGAATTAGCCCGATCTGAAGTGTCGGAAGGTGATTTTCAAGGCAAAGACCCCACGTGTGTAAATTAGATATAAAATTATTTTATACGTGGTATCAAAAACTGCCCAAAATCAAAAATGAATTACGCAATATTTCAGCACGGGCTCGATTTGCATAACAGATAATAAAAATTTGACATGTAAAAAATTCGTATATCACGAGATTACCCGGTGCCTTTAATTCAGTATACAGCTAGATTAACAAGCTTACCAGTACTTGGTTATAACCTATTATATAGCTTTAATAATGATATTTAAGCCTGTTATATCATAAGACCTATTAGTGTTACAAACCAGCTGAGGCAGCCGCGGCTAAGTCAGCTAAACCAACCGATGTAATATGATCGGCTGGCTAATGCGGGAATAGATTAGTTAGCAACTAAAATTCGGCCAAAATTTCGGGTCTGAATGCATCGGAGCTTGGCCGGCATAAGCAATAATACTAACCAACTATTCTAACAAAATTAGAATTTGGGGCTAGTGGTCTATTAGTAAAATTTTTAATATTCTTATCGACCAGAATTTTAGTCGATCAATTGAATTTTGGTTGCGCAACCAATATATTCCTAACGCTAATGCGACTTAAGATCACATAACATTAATCAATTGATCGATTGATATGGTTAATCGATTAATTGGTTAAACTATTAATCGATTAGTTGCCAACTAAACGATTAATCAATTTTCGATTAATATTACTAAATGACAGCGAAATTAAATAATGGGAGGCACAAGGATCCAAGATTTCCAGAAAGAAAATGAACAAACATAAAAGACGAGCAAGGTTGAAGAAAAATTGAGTAAATCTTTGATACATTCTGAAGAAAAAAAAAATATGACCTTAGCCATTAGCCGCTTAACCGATTTTTATCAGCTGGCTAAGCCAGCCGATAAAGGCTTATAACACTAAGACCTATTTAAAGACCTATTTGTAAAATCCCATGAAATCACCAGGTTGTCGTTATTGTGTTTTCAGAATCATGCTTCACTTTCAAAGCATTAATATCCCTGAAGAAAGTAATGCTATATTTTCTTTTGTTAAGTCTAACAAGCACCTTACCTATTTCCTGGCCTTAGGCTGTAAATCACTATCTGATATTAACATTGGCTATCTGTTTTTAAAATCTGTACATTTGAAGAGCTTGATCTCGAAAAAGAGTTTAAAGACTTAAGCCTAAAGAACTCACCTAACCTCGATAAAAAAAATAGTCTGAAACAAATATAGCATACGGTTTTGGTACAGTATGCGAAGAGTATGGCATTATTAACAAAATATTAGGAATTGCTATTGATAATGCCTCAAATAACAAAAATTCCTTGAAGAATTGATTTGTAATTCCAAGAACTCAGTGGCATTTCATTGCATTGCCTAAGTTTTAAACAATCGAAAAATTTGAGAACCATTGCACGCTATTCAACCTAAAAATGATATAGCTTTCCGATATTCCAAGATGGGGTGAGTCTACAGTAACAATTAAGAACATACTCGTCAATAACAAGTTAATTTTGAGTCTTTAAGATTTAAATATAATAAATAATAAATGCAATTTTATCGTCTTAATTTTTTGATGGCCTTGAATTTGAAGAGTTTATAGATAGTGACGTCATAATTCCCATTTAAGTCACAATAAATACAAGCAATAAAAAAAACTTTGGAGATGGAGAACGAAGAGTTAGAGGCAGAGATTATGGCGTTGCGGAGTGTTATAGAGGGTGGTCAGGGTTTTTTTTTGGGTTGAGCTTTTTGTTGTGCCTATTTTTCTATTATTAGTAAAATTTGAAAACAATAAGGGGTTTCAGAATTAAAAAAAAAATAGCAATAAATAAGAGTTTAAAAAATTTTATTTGTATATCAAAATTTTGAAATCGGAAAATGAAATGGGAGTGTTTAGAGACTCCCGTTTGACGAAATAAATAAAAATTTTTTATTATGCAGATCAACAAACTATTTAATAACAAAATATAGAGTAATAATAAAACTTTTCGCTCAAATTACTTACTGAACTTTCGCTCAAAATTACTTACTAAACCTTCGCTCAAATTACTTATTAAGCCTTGCTCAAATTATTTTTTTATAACCTTTGCTCAAATTATTTATTGAACCTTCGCTCAAATTACTTACTGAACCTTCACTCAAATTACTTACTGAACCTTCACTTAAGGTATTTTTTTTATACAACTTACTAAACTTTCGCTCATAGTAAGATATCAATCCAGTTCTATGGCTTGTATTAATTCGAATAGTTCGTCAATTTCTTTATCCAGAACTTTAGTAATAGCCTTATTCGTGCTAGTTGAGTATTCGTTCATAAGTGTCTTTGTCGATGTGAAATTTTAGGCATGTTAAGCATAAAACGGTATTAGAAGCAGTATTGATTAACAATTTTATAATAAGGAAGATATAAATAAGTGTATTCGAATTTTAATTAAAAAATAAATAGGCAAAAATTTTGCCAGAAATCAAAACTTTAAACCAAATTTACTCTGAATACAGTTTAAGAAATAACTAGAACTTCTAGATTTAGTTTAGATTTAGTTTAGTTTAGTTAAAATTTAAATACAAATCAAATTAAACAATAAATTTATATTTAATTTTTAAATATTTTATAAATACTTTAAATAAGTTCTTGTAATTATATTCTGATATACTTTAGGCTTTACAAGTAATTTTTTTATTTTCTGAAATGTTTATTAATAAAGTTTTTTAATGATTCTTTTTTTATAATATAGTTACGTACTATTTCTTCACTACTATTCATCAATCAAGTTTTCTTCAGAACACTTTTTAAATACACCTTTAGAGTTTGTTACTGCAAAATTGCATCTTTATCACTGCCTTTAAATAATTGTTTATTGATCTCATTTTTCCAGCATTGACTAATATGAAAATAACAAAGTAATAAAATAATTTCTGGCCACACATTAGATAATAGCTTCTATCAGTATCAGTCATTGCAACAAGAGTATTAAATTTGATTAAAATAGTATTCTGATTTTTCATAAGTTAACTTGATTATAATTACTACTAATTTTGTTACAAAAAGCTATTCTAAGATCTTATTATCATATCTAGATACTATTAATTTATTATATTAAGATAGTATAAAAAGAATAAAGGTAATAGAAACACCTTTATTATTATTATTAATAACAACCATAATAACAAATAATTTATGTTTGCTAATTCTAAAAGTTTTATTAACAAGAATGAAATTTTGTTATCTATATTTCTATGCATACTTTTACTATTTACGAGTACAAATAATAATGGTTAGTTTCTTTTATACAAGGTTTATAATGTATACACACCTATTTGAGTTCAGATTAGTTTGCAACTAGTTTAAAGAATTTATCTAAATTTTTTGTAGCATTATGTTTAATATTAACATTCTAATTCTTTTGTAGTATCTGTTTTTTAATATTAGAAATATTCAATATAGTAATAAGTGTTTTTGAATCTCCAATTAAAGTATGATTTCCAAATATATTTTTACAATTCTTGTATTTTGGGCAAGAATTTCTAAAGTTTTTATATTAAGGTTTAACAAAATTTTAACACTATTTCTTATATATAGCAAAAGCTTATATAAAGAGTTATGTGGAGGCTGGGAAATTATACATTGTTTAGAATGTTTTAGATATTTTGCAATATTGCAAATTTTATTATTTTGAATAGAAATTATAACAAATGTGAGATATTCAATATAAGAATATCATGTAGCTAAAACTCAACTGCTTTTTCTTAGTAAGTTTTATATATACATTGTCTAATAATTTGTGTTTTTGTAAAATATTGAGTAGCCTATTTGTATTGCATATTATCAAAGTTAATATCAAGCTCATTCTTCTAAAAAAACTGATTTCAATTTAAGGTAGATATGCCTAATTTGGCGCACTAACAATATCTTACGAACTGTTGATCAGAATTATGTAATTTTGGTACCATTCGATTCGCCTCATTGAGACAAATCGAATGGTACCAAAATCACATGATTCTGATTAATAGTTCATAAGATATTATCATTTAACCAAAATAGCCTACATATAAAGTAGATATGTCTAATTGGCACAGTGCCTAATTCAGCGTACTAACAATATCTTACGAACTGTTGATCAGAATCATGTGATTTTGGTACCATTTGATTCATCTTATCGAGACGAATCGAATGGTACCAAAATCATACAATTCTAACTGATAGTTCATAAAATATTATATTAGAAATTTTTAATGCGCCAAATTATGCACGACAGATCCAGGATGTAGATGAGATTTTCCAGGTCATGTGATTAATCGATCTCTGATCTTATCTCAGAATCACGTAACCATGTCGGCTCTTTTCTGTTACACGAATTAACATAACAAAAATAAATATACAGATCTTTTTTTTT